GGCCGCGGTGCGTCGCTCGCCGTGGTGGTCGCCCCCGCCCAGCGGCTAGCCTCGCGACTACCCTGGGGGCGGGGACGCTGTACCTGCTGTGGGCTCGGCCGCTCCCCGCCGGCGCCGCTCTCCTGGCCACCACGGCAGCCACACGCAAGACGGACACGAAGGCCGGGAGTCGAAGGGCCTAGTGACAGCTCCCAGAGTGCACCGCGCTCGCGCCCACGCCGGCGTCGACGTCGACGGCCCTCTAACCCCGCCCCCGTCCGTTCCCTGCTACTAGGTGCTAGCCGTGGCCACAGCGCCCTCAGGCGGACTGACGGCGCAAGAGGCACTGCTGCGTATTGTGGGACCAACAGGGTTTTCAACTGGTGTTTTCAACTGGTCAGCACCATCCCCTTCTTAACGGAGAGTTGAAAGGGCTCATAGGAATTGAAAACAACTTTTAAGCATTACTTAAATAACTATTTCACTATTATTTAAACAATCTTAAATATGTCATGAGTAATCTAAGACACAGAGAGGTTAGGAGACTTGTAAAGTTAGGAGACAATTGGTTGGTATCAGATTTAGAAGTATTTTGGTCCAAGAGCTCTCAGTAACATCAAGTTACTCCAAAGAGCACAATCATCGTTTTGCCCAGTCCCAATGGGGATTGTTTTATATCTGTATATTGTATGTATGTATGTATGTATATGTATAGTTTTATATATGTAGATACATATTAAATATATAAAACATATGTATATACATATATGAAACAATCTGTTAAAATAGTAAAAGACCAATTATGGAGGGATCAGCAGATGGTGTAATGGTTATGTAGCTGGACTCCCACATGGTCGATCACAGTTCAAGTCCCAGACCTGCAGACTTGAAACACACCAGGCGCATGTGCGTGCATGACAAATATCCCAAGAGGAGAATGGAAGAGAAGGGACTGTGGTGTGCCCATGTCCCCAGGGGGTGATTTCTCACTTTCTGTCTCTCTCTCTTTCTCTGTCTTCGGCGAACACACACACCCTATAGCAAAAAAAACTCTCAAAACACGCAAAAAAAAAGTGAGAGAGAACAATTATGATGAGTATGTTGTGCTAAGAATGTTACATATTTTAATATACATCAAAATATCAATATGTCAGTATTTAATAGCTTTAGGGATTAAAGGTGGAAGATGATATGAGGGGTTGAAATCATCACCTTTCAAATAAATTATTTGAGACCGTATGGTTGTTAACATTTTTAAAACCTCATCATTGCCTTCATCCATGATTCGAATTATTGTGATTGACACAGAAACTTGCACTGCAATGTGCTAGATTTAGAAATAAAAACCCCAAATCCTGATTTTAGAACAATTGTTTTAAGCTAAGATCTTTTGGGATACTAATGGATTTATTTAGTTGGATTTATTTATTCATTTAGAAATGCTTTAAGGACTATTCTGGTTACCACGATCTCCTTCCTCTGGTCGTTCGGTTGTTGGATCTTGGGCACTCATACACTTGCCAGACATGTTTCAGCCCCACCTGGCAGGTGATTCAACCCTCTCCCTCCACTACTATGTGGAACCCAGCTTTTCTTGAGAAGGGCATTATCACTGTACCATAAAGATATCTCTCTGGTGAAGACACATGCTTTCTGGCATTTAAAAAAACAATAAAGTGTAAAAAATCAATAAACAGGATTTTCAGTATACAAGTAATCATTTTTTTCCTTTCTTTTTTTAATTTCCAGAGAATGTATGCTCTTACCAGAGAGAGAGGGAGAAAAATTCTGTGTGGTCATGCAATAATCCCTTCTGATGCATTTATCCATGCTTTCAAGATTTGGGACAGGCCTAAACATGTGCCCAGCATGTTTTTAAGCAGCAGGGCCTGGGATTCAAAATGCAGTAGGCCAGGTAGGATTCCGCTTCTTTAACTACCAGAGTATGGGGCTGACCAGCATTTTATATTTTAAAGAAGTAATGGAGGGACCAGCAGTTAGCGTAATGGCTATATCGCTGAACTCCCATGTAGCTAACTGTGGTTCGAGTCCTGGACCCGGTGGCTTAAATTCACACCGGGTGTGTGTGCATGTGTGCCCAAGATCCCGAGAGGATAATGGAGGAGAAGGGATTGCAGCGTGGACATCCCCCCTGGGGGGTGATTTCTCGCTTTCTCTTTCTCTGTCTCTCTGGCGAGCACACACGCCCTATAGCAAAAACCTCTCAAAAAAAAAAAAAAAAAAGAAAGAAAAGAAAAGAAAGGAAAAGAAAAAAAGAAGTAATGGAGGCTGGCTCCATGGCCTAGTGGTTAAGGCAGCCAAATCCCATATGGCTGACGCCACAGACCTCATAGTTTGAGAAACATATGGGGCACATGTGCATGCGTGCCCAAAATCCCAGGAGATGGGAGAGTTGGAGGAGAAGAGATTACGGTATGACTATTGCCCATGGTGGGTAATTTCTCCTATCTCTTTCTCTGGTGAGCACATATGCCATCTAGCAAAAATAAATAAATAAAGATGTCTTGTTTTAAAAGAAGTACTCTTAAAATGCTACTGTGGCCTTGCATTTTAATATTTTTCCATTTAATTACTTACATTACACCACATCCCTTTCTTTATGGTGTCAAATTTTCCAAAATTATCTTCTAATAGTGAAATTATGAGTTTTCTGAGTCAGTTTCTACTTCTGCAAGAGAGAATGGTGGAAATGTGTATATGAATCATTCTCATATTTCTTGTACGAGAGAGATGGGGGGGAGAGAAAGCACGCCCCACCCCAGTTGGGCATGGTTCCACCATAATCCCTTTTGTTCCATTCCTCCTTCTCCTCAGGATTTTGGACATGCGTGTGTACTCATGTGTGCGTACACACACACACACACACACACACACACACACAGAGGCATGTTTTTCAAGACTCCAGGGCAAGATTCCAATCAAAGCAGACCATGTGGGATTCAGCTCCCTTAACCACTGCACTACGATACAACCCGCCTATTTATCATCTATCTATCATCTATCTCTATCTATCTATCTATCTATCTATCTATCTATCTATCTATCTATCTATCTAAACAAACACTATATGAGGGCTCAGTCTTGAGATTCATGATAGGAGATTTCCAGCACACTATAGGGCATAAGTGGGTGTTCAGAAAACCTCCTTACTTTTTTTTTGCAATCGTTTCAGTCTTGAAGCTATGGGGTCTAAACTGAGAATCCTTATATTTTTGTTGTTTCAGACAGAAGCTAATCAATGACCTCAGTTCATTAGAGAGAGAGAGATAGACAAAGGTAGAATTTGGGGGAGAAAATTTTGCTCTTGGACCTCCCAGTCACCTCTCCTCATCATTTTCTTCTCTTACCCAAGCTCGTCTAATGAGTATCTGATTTTTATTGTCATTCCTAGAGAAGCTAACGTGCTCACAAAAAGGAGAGCGCGAGGACAGCTTGGCTCTCTGGCCCACCTTTCTCAGCGCTCTGGGTCAAAGCCTGGATGTGAAATTGGGCACCTCTGAGGGTCCCGCACCCTCGCAGCAGCGCGCTCTCCGCCCGGCAGACGGCGCTGTGGGCTGCAGGCGGTACCTATAGTTTGATCCGATCCCCACAGCCCAAGCCTCCGCCACCTTGCTGCTCCGCCTGTAGCTGCTTCTGCTCCAACTCCGACCCCACGTGCATGCACTCCTGGCCTGGGTTCGCAAGAGCCTCTGGCTCGGTCCCGCCGTGGACTAGTCGCCGTCATGGCGACAAGTGCAGCGGAGATGCGAGTGTTCCTGGAGGTGCGGAGAGGGCTTCAGAGCGCGCTGCTGATCCTGGGGTAAGACCAGGGCGGGTGTGGACTCCTGGGGCAAGTCCAGGGCGGGTGTGGGCTCCCAGGCGCAAGCCGAGCTCGGTGTCCTGCTGCCGGGGGAGTGGAGTCGCTGAACCACCGGCTTTGCGTTAGCGCTTTCCAATTGCTTAGAGCCGCTCCATTGCTTTAAGTGAAGTAGCCCCGCCCCTTCGCCAGCGAGCTTCCTAGAAATGCAGGCCCTTAACCCCACCCCAGACCTCCTGAGTCAAAACTTAGAATTTGACAGGATTCCTCGGGTTCACATGCACGTTGATGTTAAACAACTGGTGTTAGTGCCCTGTTTCTCCAATGAAATAACGCAAAAATGTTTTGGTTAGGTTTGTTTTTTCTCCTCCCTCTACTCCAGATACTCCAGATCTTAGTTTTTTTTGTTTTTGTTTTGTTTTTTTTTAAGAGTTTTTTTGCTATAGGGCGCGTGCGCTCGAGACAGAGAGATAGAAAGCGAGAAATCACCCTGCACACGCTCCCGGCGTAAGTTTAAGCCACCAGGTCCGGGACGTGAACCGTGGTCGACTACGTGGGAGTCCAGCGACATAGCCATTACACTAACTACTGGTCGCTCCAGATCTTAGTTTTAACATCAGTTCCAGTGTGTAAGCTTCCTTTTTTGTAAATGACCTTTTTTTTTTTTTCCCCTCCTCAGACCGCTCAATGCAGAGAAACTGACACGGTCATACTGTCATACTGTACTCGGTGAATGACTAACAAAGGTTGCAGACTTCTTACTGGAGCCCATTCTTTCATTCATATGCCAAGCTCCAGTAAGAAGTCTGCAAACATTTAATCTGTTGTTCACACAAAGGAGGAACTTTTAGGAAACTCATTCTCTCTTTTGTTTGGAAACAGTTTTTTTTTTTTTTAAGAATTATTTTATTTAACTTTATTTATTATTATCATCATTATTATTTTCCAGTTTGATCAGAGAGAGACAGAAACAGAGAGGAAGTGAGAAAGCGAGCCACAAGGTCTTCAAGCGAGACTTGAACCGTGGTCGGCCATGTGGGAGTCCAGCGCCTTTAACCACCATGTGACTTGCTGGCCCCTGGAACCAGTTTTAATGGTTTATGGTCCCCTCACTTACTCCATTGTCACACTGTTTAGAAAGCAGAAGTTAAAATCCTGAAAATGTAGTTATACAATGCCACAAGTAGATTGATACTTCATTTTACTCTTTTCCTTAAAGCCATCAGGCATCTCCTGTGACTTTAGCATGAGAACTGAGTTCAAATCCTAACATCCTCGTGAGGGTAGAATAATTTATTACAAATTTCTTCCATCTAAAATGGGGGTAATACTTTGTATTCTGTGAATTTCTTCTCTTTTTCACTTTGAACAATCATGAGTTGAAACAAATATCTCCATTTCTAGTTTACCTTGTAAGTAATTAAGAGCCCAAATCTTACCAAAACTGAAAGCAAAATACCACATCACATATTTACACAGAATTCTCCATTCTTTCTGCTATCACGGGTCCTTTCACAGTTCCCCTTCTTTTTTTTTTTTTTTTTCTTTTGAGAGGTTTTTGGTATAGAGTGCATGTGCTCACCAGAAAGACAGAGAGATAAAAAGCGAGAAATCACCCCCTGGGGGGGATGGCCACACCACAGTCCCTCTTCCTCCATTCTCTTCTTGGGATCTTGGGCATGCACACACACACGCCTGGTGTGAGTTTAAGCCACCGGGTCTGGGAGTTGAACCGCAGTTGGCTACATGGGAGTCTAGCGACATAACCATTACGCTAACTGCTGGTCCCACAGTTCCCCTTCCTAAGCAAGTGAAGAAACCCAACTTTAGGTGGTCTTTGGTGGTTGAACTTTATCATCAGTCAATCCCCCTACTCAAGAAACAACCACAGTTCTGACTTCATTGAACATAAATTGTTTTTTTCCATTCTTGAACTATGTATAAATGAATTCATACCCTATATATTTTAAAACTTCTGCCCACTTACCTTCTATATAATGTTTTTTAGATCCATCCTCATATATGGTATTGTGTATACAATAGCCCACTCGTTTTTTTTTTTTTTTTTTTTTTTTTTGTAGTTTTTCCATTGTAACAAATATACCATGATTCATTTATCCACTCTTCTGTTGCTGAATGTTTCTAGAGTTTTCTTTACAGGGTACAGCTGCTATAGCATTGTTGTGTAAGTCTTTTTGTGGATGTGTATTTTTATTTTTCTTGGGTAAATTGCAAAGAGTTAAATTGCTGGGTCATAGGATAGCTATGGATGTTACAAACTGCCAAGTAGTTTTCTAAAGTGTTTGTGCTAGTTTATATACTCACCAGAAAGAAAGAAAAAATTGAGAGTTCCAATTGCTTCATATTCTCCTCACCTATGTTTAGTGCTATCAGTCTTTTCAGTTGAGCCATTTTAATGGTATAAAGTGGTATCTCGCTGTGGTTTTAATTTGCATTTCCCTGATAAGTGATAATGTGTACACTTTCATTTTCCTTTTGACAATCATAAATATTCTTTTATAAAATGTCTTCTAATTTTTTGCCATTAAATAATTAGGTTACATACTTGATCTTAGCCAAAAGGCTGAAAAGCGAAAAGGGAACTCACCTACACTGTTGGTGGGAATGTAAATTAGTACACCAACTGTGGGGAACAATATGGAGCTTCCTCAGAGACTTACAAATAGAGCTACCATATGATCCAGCATTTCCACTACTTTTATCCAAAGAATAGGAATACACTTAGTCAGAAAAGTACTTTCACACTCATGTTTCTTTCAGCATTATTTACAATTGCTAAGACTTGAAACCAACTCAAATGTCACGAACAGATGAATGAGTTAAAAAGTGTGGCACATATACACTATGGAATACTACTCAGCCAAAAAAACAAACAAACAAACAAACAAAAAAAACCAAGATGACCCTGGCATTTGATAGAAAAGTGAATGAACATGGAAGATTTACTGCTAAGTTAAGCAAGCCAGACTATGAAAGAGAGACAATATATGTCCCCACTTAATATATATGGAATGCCCCCACTCTAGTGCAGAAACTGAAAGAATAGAAGATATAAAAGCATGGAAAACAATTGCTGATACTAGAAACAGTATGGGAGGAGAGCGAAAAATGGGGAAGGGTGAGAGGAAGGAAATCAAAGGGAAAAAGAATGAAACAAAACACTTAAGGGACACAGAAATGGAAAATTATTTGTCAATAATAATATATATGATAATATCTTTAACTGGACTAATATACAATGTATTCATGCTGGGAAAATTCATTTCGTAAGTAATGATATACAGTGATTGAATGTATTAAAAAAAGAAAATAAAATAAATAATAAGTAAAATAAATACCTTTTACCCATCCACCCCCAAAAGAAAAAAATCAGGTTCATTATCTTATTGTTTAATTTTGTTTTTTAATTTGCCAGAGAATGTGCATACTTGTCAGAGAGAGCCAGAGACACACACGTAGAGAGAAAGAACCCATAAGCGGTCATGTCACAGTCCCTTTTCCTCCACTTCTCCATCCTCTTGAGATTTGGGGCACATATATACACGTGCCTCTGTGTTTTTCAAGTGGCTGGGATTCAAATTGCCATTGGCCTTATGAGATCTGGTTCATCTTCACTAGAAATGGGGCTAGTCCTCTTTGTCTTATTGTTGAATTGAACGAGTGTTTTGTATAGTTTGGAAAAAAGACCTTTCTCTTATATGAGAAGTCTTCAGAAACCATAAGAGAAATGATTATCACACATAAGAATGCATGTAAACAAGTGGAATAAGTTATGGAATGCTGTATCCCAATGGAGTGAGAAATGTCTGGCAATTTGATATACACTTCAAAAGAACAAGCTGTCGGATTATTACTGAATGTTACATTTGATATTTACAACACAATGCCCAATATCAAATAAGATGAAATGTCTATACCCTTGATTTGATTACTACACATTGTTCAGATACTTTGAAAAACCATACTGTACCCCACAAAGATATATAACCATTATATGTATTCTTTGTTTTCTTCTTCTTCACATTTTATTGTACAGTTCCATAGCTCACAGTATAGTTTTTAAAAACATTACCATCAAATCAAAGCTATTACCATATGCATCTTTTCCGTCAGAGAACTTTATATTCATGTATCTGTCAAGTACTTCCTCCCTAAGCCCCTGCCCCTCATCTCTCCCCTCCCTCCACCTTTCATTCCTTCCCTTCTCCTGTGGTGTCTGGTATCCATACTTGTCTCCCATACCATTATATTTTCAAGTCTTTCCATTTCTGGGTATATTCTTTTTAATTGCTTTAGGATTGTGTGCAAGAGAGAGAGAGAGAATGCTCCCCGCAATGGAGTGTAGTCACACTGCAATTCTTTTTATTCTGTTTCTTCATCCTATTAGGATTTTGGACATGAATGTGTATGCACCTAGTGTGTTTCTTAAACCACTAGGACTAGAATTTGAATCGTGGTTGACTGTGTGGAATCTGGCTCCCAAAGAACAGGGCCTAATCGCTATGCTACAGGGCTGGCCTAACACCAATTACATGTAAACCAGAAATCACAATTTAGAAAGAAAGTGAAAAAAAATAGTTCCTGGGAAATATATATTATTAAAAAACTGTACATGGATTTCAAAAATTGTTTATACCAAAATAAATTTATGCTGTAATTCCACTTTTCACAAACTTTTTAAGTCCTCTCACATATGAATATTTTTCTCCTAACCCATGATTTATCTTTTCATTTTCCTTTTGTTTTAAGTTTATTCATTTATTTCTCCTCTGAGAGAGGCAGAGAGATACAGAGAGACAGACATCGCCAGCAGAATCTTCATGCTGTGATCCGTCCCTAGTCTCAGCCAGACTGGAGGCACTTGTGCACCCGTATGTTCTGGGAAGTCCTGGGATCCAGATCCAGGACTTTCTCATGTGTGTCCAGTTGCATTCCTG